GAAATCACAAAAGAGTTCCCCTACCGGGTCTGTATACTTTGTGACTTTGTTCCCGGTTACCGGTCTGTATACACTCCCTTTTTTTTATTTCCCCCGGGTTGCTGCCGAAGCTTACTCTTATCGATTTTGGACCACCAATGGATCTTTAACGTGCGCTACTTGCTCACGGGCCCTCCGAGATTTTTCGCCTTTCCTACCATAAGATCAGTGGTGTGGCTGAAAGACAGCAGTAAGAAGGAGCCAAGGAGTAGCAGAAGAAAGGTTGCAGAAAGAGCCAGGAGCCCAGAGGAAGGAGCAAAGGGGGTGAGAGGGTGGCACCAGAAAATGGTGACGAAAGCAGACGACAAAACATTGTTAGTTAGCAGAAAGGGAGGTGAACAGTGACTATTTCTTAGAAAAGAAAAATTACTGCCACTATCCGGATTAGAACCTGGGACCTATTGAAGGGGAGTCGAACACCCTAACCTCTATGCCCCGAGACCTTGAAAACTCTCAATTTCTACTTTTTCATCCTCTGTCTTTTTTTTAAACCGATGACCGTCCACCCGATAGAAAAGAGGGGCAGATTTCTCCGTCCCTCGGATGCATCGGGCAGTATCCGCCTCGCTAAACCAGTGGGCACAAGGCCGGAGGAGAAGCTGAGAACAGATGTCACCTTTGATCGTAGTCAAAAGGACGAGAAGCGATCAGAGAACTGAGTCTGTTTATGACCGAGTAAAAATCTAATAGTTCGACGACACGGATGGCTGGTGCCCCTGTAAATAAAATATTAATGGCATGGTCTGTACTTTTACTTTTATATTTTCATCCTCTGTTGCCGTTAAGCGTCGATGGGAGATGCAGTTTTCTATGGTAGGCCAGGCCAGCTCTGCAGCTCTTTCAGTTGTGATGTTTTTCTTAGGGTTTCCTTGACACCTTCGATCCTCCTTTCGCGTGGCCTTCCTCTTCCTTTATAGCCTGAGTGCTTGGTGTTGTAGGCTCTCGATGCTGGCTGGTCAGGTGACATGCGTAACAGGTGGCCAAACTATTTTTATCCTGTCTTTCTATGTAACGCACGCAGGACACAGTGCCGATAGCTGCTCTTACTTCTCATTACCTCCCCTTGGACCAGTAGGTATCATGCTGAATGAACAACAGAGCGGACTGTCCTGATTTCAAATCCTCTATGAAGTCAATGCCAGAGAACAGTTACATTTACTGCTAGAGATACACGTTTAGATCTACCCCCAACATTGAAAGAAAATAGTTGTATGTGCTTGCTATTTTGTAGAAATAGAAGTATCTTTTTTAAAGAGTATCCGAGCAAAGGAATGAATGGAGAACCATGATAGCCGATGTCTGTCGCAGATCTGGCACTATATGATGATAAATAAAAGTATATTTATGATTTAGCCGATTTCATGCCTGTCTCCGATTCTGCATGGCATAGCCAATCCAAGCTTTGTAGGACGTATGCCAACAGAAATACAGAAATGGTTCATGAAAGAAATCTTCCCCCCTCAGAAATGAAACTCACATTTTTTTAAATTATCATTATACGACATGAAAATCTCCAAACACTTACCCCACAGAATAGGACAAATTTATATAGCCAAAAGCCAAATATAACACTCACCTGAAGAACATACTGCTTTGGTGTTAAGGAGAATGTTGCACCTCCAAGTTCAAAGTTCACGTTGGGCATTGAAGGGATCTTGCTGCAATCCACAATGTACTGCAAATAAAGAAAATCCACTGCCGAAATCTGACTGAAGTTTTACATAGTATTGGCATTGCAACATTCTTTCCACCCTATCAGTCGCACATTTAATAACATAGAAATTTGTGTGATCATCGATAAACTTTTGTTCTGTTGAACTCCATCCCCATGTCGACCAAAAAACAAAACCCTCAAAACCCACAACTTGATCTCTCTCTCTCTCTCTCTCTCTTTCTCTCTCTCTCTCTCTCTCT